TCTAAAGCTCTAAACTATAGATCTGACCCCCTAGGGCTGAGATACCACGTAAAGTTGTTGGCTTTACGTCCATGCATGGCATTAAGGGGGCTAAAACACTCAATCATAGCTTCTTAAGGGATTTAGGGCATGAAGGAAGGCCAAGACTTGATAAAGATGCAACTTTAAGTCAAAAGAGGCTATGAGATGTCCAGATCTGAAGTCATAGCTTCATGACATGCTCAAATCCAACAATGATCCCAACATGACCTAATAATGACCATAAACTCCCACATGAAGAGATCTAGCAAATAAATGACCAAGGTATCAAATTTATACCTCAATATGGCTGCCACAACAGAGAAGACACCGGATCTACATCCTCTCCCTTCAGCTATGCACCTCCTACTTCAAGCCTCTTCAAACAAACACCAAAAATGAACTCTTTAAGCTCCCACACACTCAAAATGGTAGGAAAAGCATGAACTAGGGTTTCTCTGGACAATGGGGCGATAAGGGAGGCTAACAATGAGGCTTAAGGCCTTTAAATAGGGTGCAAACCCTAAAAATTAGGGTTTTCCTTTCCAGCGTCTACTCGTCGAGTTGGGGCTCCCCAACTCGTCGAGTTGAGTCCTTAATCCACATCCAACTAGATCCCTACACGACGAGTTGGAGCTCCCCAACTCGTCAAGTTCCAGCCCAAAACCCTATAATGTTGAGAAATAAATAATACCTGGACCAAGCGTTACATAAGTATACTCGATGCAAAAATTCATTTTTTAATGTCACAAATAAAATTAATTTTTGTGATTTTTGACTCAATCCTTAACGATAGACGGTTTATCGAGCAGTTTGAGATGTTCTGAAGGTAATTATGAGTATAATCTATTTGATATATATTATAAACATAAAATTACACAATTTTGGTCTTTTACACATATCGGTTCCCGGTGGTTTGACCGCCGAACACTGACCTATTTTTACCAATTGTTACATTCTCCCCCAGTTAAAAGAATTTTGTCCCAGAATTTAGCTTGTAGTTAGGGATATCGTGAAACAACTGGGGACATTGTCATTCTGCTTGATATCGTACATGATCATTATGTAGTTTTCTTATGCATGCTAGTAGTATATATTTCAAGTTTGAGTTGTCAATCAAAGCCATGATTCTAGTCGAATCCCACAACCAAGCAAGTAACAGGGAATAAGGCAGAGTCAACATTCTAAGGTAATCCAATTCTATAAATACTTCTACCGTATTTAACTAACAATCATGCGATACTAGCTGGGTTTCTTAGTTCACTTTATTGGGAGATAAAACAGGAATGTCATCGAATAGATACATCTCAAGTTTTGACATCCAACAAGTGTTATACATATTGTTCAGTTTTTGGGAATCAGGACCAATTCTTACCAGAATTTAAAAGGTCCTTTGTGTCGTAGGTTTATATCGTTCTTAAGGAAACATTTATTGTTGATGTTCGTGTTTAGCTTTATATCGTTCTTTGGTTTATTCAATCATTTTGTAATCTCATGACTGACTTCCGAATCAGTAGGCAGTGTGCTACTTAATTGTTCTTAAATCATTATTCAACATTTTGGGGATCAACACTTTCATCCGTACAAAGCCTCAGATGGTGCAACTTTTATGCTGGTGTGATAACTATTGTTGAAATACTCAATCAACAGCAATTGTGTAATCCACACACTTTCAAAGTCTATCACTTAGGCTTGGAACCTATCATTCAAAGTTTGGATAACTTTTGCCCAATAGGAATGGAAAATCGTGTTCATACCTAGGCGCATCCCTAAGAATTTATGTAGTGATAGTCAACATCGTGAGGTGAATCTACTATTTCCATCCGAGACGATAGAAATCAACACCTCGTGTAGTTTTGTTGGTTTTTTAGATAAGTTTTGGTAAGCTTTTCTATCTTAATCGTTCTCTTTGTTCTACAGGAAGTGGGCGAACTTAAACCCTACTCAAATAGTATTGAGAACACTATGTGTCTTGGGTAGTTCTGTTATGACGTCTATGAAAATTTACTCCCACTTCCACCCAAGCATTTCCGATTGTTGGTGTAAACCCAAGGGTTTCTGATGTCGATGAACTGATGCATCCAGTTTGAGATGTTCTGAAGGTAATTATGAGTATAACATATTTAATATACATTATAAACATAAAATTACATAATTTTAGTCTTTTACACATATCGGTTCACGGCGGTTTGACCGCCGAACACTGACCTATTTTTACCAATTGTTACACATCCTAATATCACATAGTCTACATAATCAGAGAGTTCGTGAAAACTCACCTGAATAGCTGATAAAATATGCCCATACAATGAACTAAGTGGCACCAAAACTTCTTGGAACCACTACACATTTGTTTAACCCTAATTTAGCAATTAAGGTTTAACACCTAACTTTCTGTTAGTGTATTGGTTAGGTTTTTTTAATTTTATTGGTTAAAAGACCATTTTTCCTTTCAACACATCATTCAATATTTGAATCCATCATAGTTGACTAAAGGTCAAACTGGTCAAAACGTCAACAATCAACAGTCAATGGTCAGTTGGCAACGTGCCGTGAGCCAGCTTCTATTCGTGTTGCGGTCAAGTTATGTCAAAACGATTGCGAGACCCATACAATTTCCGCACCGCGACCAGTCCTTGGCCATGCCGCGTTTCACTTGGCAGAACACTCTTAACCCATTAAGCACTTAATCTCTATAGAACAAGGCTTAGATTCTCATATATGATTCTCTTCAGTGACTTAATGGATAAAGTTTTCAAAATTAATTCATTGGCCGTGCTGCGTTTCACTTGGCAGAACACTCTTAACCCATTAAGCACTTAATCTCTATAGAACAAGGCTTAGATTCTTATATCTGATTCTCTTCAGCGACTTAATGGATAAAGTTTTCAACTTTATCCATTCCAATGGCTAGATCTAACCAAATCTACAACCCTAATAAGAATTAGTCCATTAAAGTCTATAATTCCTTGCATGGTTGACTAAGAACACAAGAATACACATTTTTCTTATTCCTAAAGTCCAGAGACATAATCATTTGCTAACTAAACTTTTGGAGTTGCTCAAATTTCAAGAACATGATATCAAAATGACCAAAAACTCATGAAGTTTTTAGATCAATGCAACAAATTGAATAAAGCAGTAAACTTCGTCACTTACATTGCTTATGAAGTGACAAAAATGTGGAAACTTCTTTGGAGCCAACCTCTCCAAACTTTACAAGCTCTTTTTCCTATTCAAAAACTACTATAAAGCTTCAAAACTCTTTATCAAGCAAGAAAGGGGGCTAGGGTTTCGTTTTGAGAGAAGGAGGTTGAAGTTAAGAGAACCCTAGAAGTTAACATCCTTTAAGTAGGGCTCAACGGTCTGAGTTCTAGGGTTTTTTGCCATGGCAGCGTCGTGGCACGGGCCATTAATCCACCATGTCGCTACTTATTGATGTGTCCCGCGTCTTGGTGCAGTCTTGCCAAAAACCCTAAAACCCAAAATTAACAATTCAATAAGAAATTAACTCATATCTGGAAAGTGGACGTTACAGGTACAAAAACATAATAAATTGATAAATTGTTTTTAGTGTTGTCAATTCTGCTTTTACATATAAAATGACCAAAAATGGCATTGTGCATATTATAAACCTATATGGTTTCTAGATATAGCGGTTTACTTTTAGCATTCACAATAATATTTTGAACAAAATTTTACATCAGTAACATTAATAATAACAATTATTTTGTTTTACTTTCACACCCATAAGCTATATCTAGGACCATTTTAGGGTGGAGGGTGTCATTTTAGAAAGTCCCTCTTCCCGGGCTTCCGAGTCGTATCTCAAGCAGGTAGTTCTATGTTCACGCTTCTGCCGCCTCCCTCCTTCGTGATCATCCATGGCTTCCCCTATTTTTCTTTATTTGTTTCCTTCTATCATCTAAACACTCTTCCCACAACTTTCTCTCTCTCTCTCTCTCTCACCCCTCAACACTCGTGTCGATATGTGTCCTCTTCCCACGACAATACCCTACCCCTTTACTCTCACACCCTCAAATGTTTTATTTCATCCAAACAAGTACTTTGGCCCGATCTCAAACCATAGTAAGATGATAAACACATAAAATAAGCGAAGCACTCTATAAATAGAACTTTGAGTATCCACTTTAATAAGCTGGCATCTTATTTTATTCATCTTTCTTTTCTAGGTAGTTAAGATAAACTGGTTCAGACCAAAAAGCTTCTAGCCCAACGATATATCAGGTGTTACTTTTCCTTTTTGAGGTCGATTGTTCAAGTCCCTTCGTGGACATAAGTGGTATTAGGTGTTAGCTTAGGAGTAGATTAAAATATCGGCTAAAAAAAATGAACGGGTTCACATTTAACGGTAACTTTTCAGTCCAAATATGTCTCGCAGGCAGTCCAGATCGTTCTCAAAGGCGATATTAATGGCTATTTCCCCCAAAACAATGAACCCCTACAATGACAATAAAACTTTTACTTATCTTTTATTATTTCTATATTCTAAAGTACAGAAATTGGGCATTAAAATGATTCATATTATTGGTTACTTAATTGACCAGATCAAAGTTATGCGTAAAGACTAGCTAGTGGACAATCTCTATAAAACATGCAACAATAGATCCATACATATAGAAGAAGTCAAGAACACATGAACAACCGCCTAATTAATCTGTCTTAATGAATTTGGCTTGAGATATATATTCCCATCTAAGAAAAAGTTAACAGCTTGTGAACTAGAAATAAACTAAAAAAAAAAAGTCATCCACATCGGTTCTATCAATGAATGTATAGGAAATGAATCTAATTTAGAAAGTATGCACATATGACTAGTATTAAAGACGCCCTTCTACAGTAAGTAAGATGCGATATGAGTCTGCGTCTTGCATACGTTGGTTGTTTGTCCTATTCTTTGGTCATTTAGGTTGGTTTTATAGCATTAATAGAAACCAAAGACTGATTCCAAATCGATTTAGATGGCAAAATCAAGAGGAATCACTACAGGAAAGCTGCTAAAACTGCTTCATCCTTTCATAATACTGATTGTAATACTATCAAGAACAAAAGCAGCCTCTGAAGTAGCTCTATCCCTTCCTGGATGCCCCGATAAATGTGGGAACATTACGATCCCATATCCATTTGGGATCATAGAAGGCTGCTACTTAAACAAAAAATATCATGTAAATTGTTCTACACTAAGTGTTTCAGAAACCAGATTCAAACTGTTACACATATCATTTGATGGCTATATGCGTGGCTTGTTGCCGATAGGTTATCGTTGTTACAACACAGCTCATAAAATAACCATCAGCCAAGAACCCAAAATACAGTTGTCCAGGTTTCATGTCTCAAGCACTGAGAATCTCTTGACTGTAGTTGGGTGTGATGCTAGAGCCAACATGAAGACTGCTAAGGGTGAAGGCTACTATACTGGATGCCTATCAATGACTGGTTGCGATAGGTTAACCAGAGGTTCGTGTTTAGGCATGGGTTGCAGCCAGGTTCCGGTCCCTCCTTACCTCACAAGGTTTCGGATCCATGCACAAAGCAACACACGAGGGGAGAACGTGGGAAACTGGAGTTATAATAACTGCACGTATGGATTTCTTGTTGAGAAAGGTGGTTACATATTTCGTAAAAAAGACGTTGATAATTTGAAGAAGCGGGCTTTCCCTGTTGTTCTTGAATGGTCGGTTGACTACATAACCTGTGAAGAAGCTCAAAAGAACATGTCTACATATGCTTGTCAAGAAAATAGCGTATGCCTTGATACTACGACTGAGTCCAATCGAACTTACCAGGGGTATCGCTGTCAGTGTGCTAAAGGGTACCAAGGTAACCCATACCTGCCAAATGGGTGTCAAGGTACGTAATGATTTACGTTTCTGTTTAATACCATCAACAGGTTTTAATAAGTACACACTTTTCATGAACATTTATGATTTTTTTTTTCAGATGTCGATGAGTGTCAAGGAGCTCAACATGATTGTAAATACGACTGCAGTAACATAAATGGGAGCTACAACTGTTCATGCCCCTTAGGGCAGCAGGGAGATGGTCGAAAGGATGGGAATGGTTGCTCTTATACACAAGGAATCAAATCGCTTGGAAATTCAGTCTATTGGGGTTAGTATAAACAGCTCTATGACACAATTCACATGGTTAACTCGTATAAGTTCTGATCTTGAGTTAATTTTGTTGTCGTGATTGCTATTTCTAATCGACAGGAATCAGCATGGGAACTTCAGCTTCATTTTTGTTAACATTTATCATATACTGGGGACTCAGACAAAGGCAGATCATGAAGAGCAGGGAGAGATTCTTCAAGAAAAATGGCGGATTGATTTTGCAGAAAGTACTATTTGAATCTAAACAATCCTCCCACGTGGCCAAGATTTTTGCAGCAAGAGATCTTGAAAAGGCAACCAATAACTTCAACAAAACAAATATCATCGGTCAAGGAGGTTATGGAATAGTTTATAAAGGTACACTATCAGATAAAACAACGGTTGCCATCAAGAAAGCTAAGTCAATTGATGAGAGCCAGATCGAGCAGTTTATAAATGAGGTGATTATTCTATCAGAAATTAGCCACCCAAATGTCGTCAAACTCTTGGGTTGTTGCTTAGAGACGCAAACTCCTCTCCTGCTTTATGAGTTTGTAACCAACAAAACTATCTTCCACCACCTTCATGAACAAGACTTCATATCTTCAATGACGTTTGAAAGACGCCTAAACATAGCCACGCAGACTGCTGAAGCCCTTGCTCATATATACTCAACGACACAAATCATTCATAGAGATATTAAATCTTTGAACATACTTTTGACTGACGACTACATTGCCAAAGTGTCTGATTTTGGAATCTCGAGGTTCATTCCAATTGATGAGACTCACATACAGACACTGGTGCATGGGACTCTCGGATACATAGATCCAGAGTACTTTCGATCAGGAATTTTGACAGACAAGAGTGATGTTTATAGTTTTGGCATGGTTCTTGTGGAGCTGCTTACAAGCAGAAAAGTGTTTTCACATGATAGAACTGAAAGTGACTTGGGTCTGGCAGCCTATTTCATTTCTTCGCTGGAAAGGGGCCACTTGCTTCAAGTTCTTGATGATAAAGTGAAAAACGATGGGCTCAATGAACATATTAGATACTTTGCTAGACTTGCCAAAGATTGTTTGGAACTAGAGGGCAAGAAAAGGCCTAATATGGTTAGAGTGAAAGAGGAGCTCAACGAATTGAGACAATCTTATTTGAAGAGCTCTATTATGTCAAAGAAAATCAAGCATGATGACCTTTACGAGATTCTCTATTTTGATTGATAGCCCTCATGCATATTTTGAACTATTTAGTTTAGCAATATGTCATAGTCTAACCTGCATATTTTGAACTATTTAGTTTAGCAATATGTCATAGTCTAAGGGTCTGTTACGTAAAGTAAAATCTATCTATACCTATTGTATCCTATTATTTGTTTATTGAATGAAATCCTCCTCAATTGAGCTTTAATATGTTATCAGGTTTGTTGGTGATATGTATTATCAATATTGTAATTAACCGTAATGGATTAATTTGTTGGCCAAATATAATGTTGATAAACATTAAGCAACTAAGGAAGACGTGGAGTGCACACTGCACACTTGTTTGACTTTGTTCAAGATTCATAGTAGACTGTCATTCAGGAGCGAAGCCCCTGAACGAACGGAGGTCTGGAGGCAGCTCCCCTGGAAGCGGGGTCCAAGGGGCGGCATCCCCTGGCTAGGGTCGACACGGATCTAAAAACTGTTTTTTAAAATCTATTTTGTGATAATTTTGGCGGGTTTTCTATGATTGTTTGAAACTGTCTAGTGACAGTTTTTAGACACGGATCTAAAAACAAGTTTTGGTCATATTTTCTGGCACACATACGAAATTCATAATTTCTCATTCTCTGTTCTTCTTTTCTCTCATTCCGAGTCTAATCCAATTGTTGATTATGGGAATACCACCGAAATACTTCAATTTAAAAGTGTCATCACGATTCTTAAAATTCCAACCGACCCCAAATATCTAACAAGGTGGGTCATCTCGCTAAGTTAGAGGCAACCTCCAGCCTTTTGTTTATTCTCCTCCATCTAATCATATTAACAAAATGGCTCTATATCTAATGGCATTTAATGCAACCGAAAAGGATGACCTTTCTCATCATTGATGAGCCTTTCTTCTCAATCAAACAGATTTTCAATTCTGGAAGATAATGGTCGAACCTTTCTTCTCGAAACATGTCCTTCTTCAACAACAACCAAATTAGAAAACTCATGAGTTCCAATCCCACGTTATGCAATCTGGAAGGAAAACAATGATCTTGCTTCATCAAATTCTGATCAACATGCCTCTGATTTGTTTTATGGAAAAGGAACAGCCCGTGAGATATATACATGACCCTTTACACTGTGGCTAGCTATTTGTTTTATTGTTAAAATATTTCAAATGCTTTTGGGATGTTTGTTTTTAGCAAAATTTTTATTCTAAATGGTTTTCGAATATTCATTTTAAAAAAGAGTATTTCAAACTATCTATACGAGGTGTCTGGCAATGATTCGGGATATAAACAAGTTATATTAAATACAATGTAACGTCCGATAAATAAGACCATAAAATTTTTTCATTTTTAGATTAATAAACATCAAACCATATCATTATCATGAAACCACGGTTATCAAAATGTATCAATACATCCTCAAAATCGGAGTAAATCACAAAGATGCGGAAACGCGTGGTGTGTGCTCTGCAAGCATTCCGAGCTCTTCCCTTTGGAACTGGAAGTACCTGAAACATAAACTAAAAACCATAAGCACAAAACTTAATGAGTTCCTCAAGATACCACATACCATACATAATAAACACATAATGGGCCCCGCCCGGCATCGGGCCCCGCCTGGAATCGAGCCCCACTCGGTATACAGATCGGGCCCCGCCCGACATACATGTAAACATATAACATATAAACACATACACATGCAATAATCACAAAGATACACAGCATACAAAATGGTCATCGGGCCCCGCCCGGTAAGCATAGGAGTACATAACACATGCAAGAGTCACGCAGACATCTAGCATCCTAACATAACAAGATCATGGGTCGACATTGGTGCCTTCGACCCGCTAAACCCAGTGAGGAAACTCACCTCGCACTATCGAATCTCATAGAAAGGATCTTTGGTTGTTGGCCCGCTAAAATCTTCGCGCTATCAATGCCAATGACATCCAATTAATAATTAGATTCCAATCCATAACCATCAATCCAAAAATTAGGGTAAAAATACCATTTTACCCCTTACGTAGCTTGGACCAAGACTAAGGCCCATACCTACAATCCGAAAGGCCCAAATCCAAATTAATCATCCAAGGCCCAATCATGGCCCAATTTTCCAAATTGGGCCCAATCTCTTTCATGGACCTTTTCCAACAACCTAAAACAAACGTCAATGTAAAACTTGATGGCCTAGCAAGGCCCTAAGCATCTAAGTCCAAATATGGCCCAAACCGAAGCCCAAATGTCCGAAGCCCAACCTGCTGAGTGTAACATCTCGATTTCCAGGGATGAAATTCTAGGGATTTTGGGCATTTTAGAAAGCCTACTCAACGAGTTGGAAGGCCCCAACTCATCGTGTAGGAACCCTTATGGCCGCATGCATAATGGGACCAACTCGACGAGTTGAAGGACCTAACTCGACGAGTCGGAGCTGGATATGAAAACCCTAATTTTTAGGGTTTGCACCCTATTTAAAGAATGTTATTGTTCATTCACAGCCCTTTTCATCGCCCCCTTACCAGAGAAAACCCTAATCTCCCCATTGTGTGAGTGTGTGAGCTTGGAAGTCATTTTGGGTGCTCTTTTTGAAAGGAAACTTGAAGATTGAGAAGGTTGGATCAAGAAGAAGGTTGTAGATCTGTTATCTACTTTGTATTGGCAGCCAATCCGACGTATAAAGTTAATACCTTGACTTCTCACTGCTTAGATCTTCCCTTGTGAAATAAAATGGTCACTTCTAGTGCAAAATGGAGTTACTTTCGGGTTTGAGCTTGTCACAAGGACATGGTTTCAGATCTGGACTCCTCTAGGCCCACATAGTCATAAAGTCATCGACTTTACCAAGCTTTGGCCCTTCTCCATGCCCTAAACCTCTTTTTAGACTTAGTTTTTGTTGGGTCAAAATTATGGTTTATACTTTGCTTTTCTAGGAAAATGTATTTTTATGTCTAGGACCGTAAACAGCTCAGTGTTTACGGCCATATATGTGTTTACGGTCAGTGTTTACTGCCGTAAACAGGTTTATGGCCGTAAACCCATTCACGGCCCATGTCTACTATATATAGGGTGAGGAGTGCATAATTGCTATAGACTAGCGGAGCTTAAGTGTGTGCATTTGAAGGTGTTCTACAGAGAGAGAAAAGAGAGTGTGTGTTAGTGTGTGTGAATCTTGTATCCGGATCTTCATTCATATCAATACATACAAGATTCATCATCTTCTTCTTCTCCTTCTCTTCTATTTGATCTGACATCATCCAATTGATTGGGATTCCGCACCATCAATTGGATCTGATCGATACACAAGCATTTTTGGGGACTTACAATTGGTATCAGAGCTTGGTTGTATCAATCATTTTTTGTCAGATCTGGAGCTTATTTGATCTTATTTTGGAAAGATTCTTGCGTTTTTGGATAGATCTCTGAAAATTAGGGGGGGTTTGTTCTTCGCGTTTTTGATAAAAACGAGTTTTCGATCGAGTTTTGGAGCAAAAAGAGGTGAAAAACACTGTTTTTCACGTAATCTACGAAGAGTTTACGGTCGGCGGCGGCGGCGGCGTTTACGGCTAGGGTTTCCCGGAGTTTACGGCCGACCGGAGTTTGCGGTCCAGCAGACTCGGTCTTCGCTTCGAAGTTGATCCTCGCACGTCCTCGCTGGTTCGCATCAGCTTCGTATTTAAAAAAAGGGGAAACGATTTAGGGGGCTGCCAAGGATAGAACTCGGGTTCCTTGACTCCTCAACCAGCGCCTCTTCCAACTGATCTAGCCTGTTAGATGGAATAACACTTCGAAATTTAATTCAAAACCACTCCCAGTCGCTTCTAGTTTCGCAAAATTGAAACTTTTAACCCCAAAAATCAATTTCTTTCATTTTTAAAATTTCTTTTTCAACCAAAATTTTAGCTTTTAATTTTTAAATTTTTAATTTTGACTTTTTACTTAAAATTTTGACTTTGACTTTTAAAATTTGACCTTTGACTTTAAACTTTGACTTTCTCGTTTAACTTTTAAATTTTCAAATTTAGCTTTTCGGTTTGACCTTTGAGTTTGACTTTTTAAATTTGACTTTTGAGGTTGACATTTGAGTTTTTAGTCAAAGGGCATTTAAAAAAAATAAATAAAAAATAAAAATGATTTCCGAATCCATTCCGGTAAATGAAGTTTCATGTACTCCAGCTTGTGAAACTACGATTAAATTTCTTCGGGAACAAATTGATTTATTAAAAAGAGAAGTTGAGGACCTAAGATATGAAGGATATCAACTCAGGAAAGGACAGAAACCCCTAAAGGCCCAGTTAGAAACAAAAATAAAGGACTTTAAGAGAATTCAGGAAGACTACAGTGAAAAATGTGAAAATTATGATTATATCAAGAGACAGAATGATGAGTTAATTACTGAGCTTGATACATTAAAGAGACAATTTGAAACTGCGAATTTTAATTTTAAAAGGTTTGATGTATCAAGCGAGGTAGTTGCCAACATGATTGACCATTGCGTGCAATTCAAACGAAACCAGCAAAAGGGTTTAGCATACGAAAAGTGTACCTCCTCCTTTTAATCATACATATCAGTATCAACCCTTGTCTAAAGAGGAGATTGCCAACGAACCATTCATGGTTTATGGCAAGCCATCTGGTTTTGTTTCAGGAGGATTTATTAATGTTGAAAGTTCTAACCCTTCTACTTCCCCCTGCAGAGCAATCCTTAGATCAGTCAAAGCACGAAGTTGAAGGATATGTTTCTGATAACAAAACTGAGTCTGAACCTGATGTTTCTGTTTCGAATGAAAACTCTATTATTTCTGATGTTAAAATTGATGATACATCTTGTGATGCTTCTGCATCGGATCATGTTGAGTTAAATTTTTTTGACATATTTGATGATTTGTTTGAAAATACTGATGTTCTTGTTTCTAGCACATCTACTTCATGTGCATGTAAAGGATGAGGATAAGGAGAACAGAACTAATTCTAGTTCTGCAAATTCTGATGATTCTGTGTCAAAGACTGATAACTCAAATTTCTTTG